CTATTATATAGTATATATAATAATATATAAATATTAATTTTATTATATATATATATATATATATATATATAATTACAAAAAATATCATCTATCAAATCAAATATCAATATATGTTAAAAGTAAAAAGGAAAGGAAAGGAGTATATTTTTCACAAATTTTAGAAGGAAAAAAGAAGAGCAATTAAAGGAGCAAGTGGTTGCATTTAATGTTGCTGCAAGTGCTTTTCTAGTCAAATTATTTTACTTATAAAATTGTATATTTCGATTCTTTAGTCACTTATCTAAAGAGAGTAGACGTATAGCAATTTAAAACAAAATAAATGCTTCACGTTATTTAATTTGAAGTGGTCCTACTCATTCATTCACAAATTTTATGTTCATGTCATATCTATATATCAAAAAAAATTAATATGTTAGTTAATTGTATTTTAAAACACACACACCAAAAAAAAAGATTTATTGAGTTTATCAAATTATCTAGGGAAAATTATATATAATAGCAAACTAATAACCTAAATTAAATGGAATAGCTAGGGTTTGATTTAATTGTGCTCCATAGCAAACATTAGCTAAAATTTGTCAGCGTCTCTCTCCCAAAAATCTCGCTCGCCTCTATCGCTTTATACACAAAAGTGTATAATTCTGTTTCTGTTTTGTATAAAGCGAGAGAAAATTGTATATACACATGCAAAAATGTCGTGTTATACACTTAATTATACAATTTACAAACATTTTACTTCAAATATTGCACCAACGAATTATACAATTGCAGTGAAATACAATTTTCTCTAGTTTTATACAACAGAAGTGTATATATTGTGTTTCTGTTTTTGTATAAAGCGAGAAAAACATATATCTTCTTGCTATACATTTATAATTATGCAATATACATACATTTCAATTCGATTCAACTGTATGCACGAAAACTCAACCGGCGGTCATAAAAAAATGGCTTCTCAAAAAATTCATCCCTTTCATGAAGCCACACCATACACTAATATTTAAGATGAGCTACAAAAATCAATAGTGTAATTATTATTCTTATATAGTATTAGTGAATTTTAAATATATGCACTAGCAAGTTGATTATTATTTTTATCAGATAAATTAATATTCATCAAGAGATCTACTTGGTCAAAGTTAGAAAAAAAAATTCAATTTTTGAGATCTAAATTGAATCTCCAAACAAATTTTTAATTTCAAATTAATTTATTTTATCAATGATTTCAAATACTGTCTTTATTTCACAAACTTAATTTATGTTACCCCACATTCTGCCTTTATCGGTCCTTATTATTTGTCGTTTAATTAGCCAAACAAATTAAGTCTAAATTAATAGTTGTTACTTTAAAAAAAAAATAAGATATAGATATTAAACGATAAATTATTGAATTACATCTTTCTATTTTTACAGGATAGAAATAAAATTACGTACACGATGCTAAACCTATTTCATAATCCTATAACTTTCAATTTGTCTTTATATGAATTAATACTTAATAAAGACAAGTAGAATCTTTTTTTTTCCAAAGCAAATGGAATATATTGACGCTTAATATTTCTTTAATTTAATCTTTGCTTATAATCAGAAGCAAAGAATTTCTTCCTATGCTTACACGCATCTTATATTAAAATAAAAATATATATATGTTAGAAAACTAAAACGTTATCCAACCAATCAGATTGTGCCACTTCATCAGAAATGTGGGTCCCACTAATCCTATCAACCAATCAGAAACATTTGATCATTTTGACAAACTCCCCTTATATCCAACAACTACCATCAACAACCAACTTTCTTTGAATTCTTGACATATTTCATCATTTTATTGCAAAATTTAGCCAAAAGAATTTGGGATGATGGCTGGATGGTTGATGAATAATCAAAAGTTAAGTCCTATGGGGTTGATGATCAACAAAGATGAGATGAATTATGTGTTTGGTCAAAAACAAAAATCAAGTCTTGATTTTCTTATGCAGAATTGTGACTTGCCACCACCTCTCAAGGTGTTTTCTGGTCCTGATATGAATGATGATAATGTTAAGGAGGTGAATATCGAGGTTAGACGAGAACTAGGGAGTGATAGGTTGGAGGTTCTAAAGGCGTTGAGACGATCACAGACACGAGCAAGAGAGGCAGAGAGGAAGTACCTGGCATTGCAGAAGGAGAAGGAAGCTCTTTCGAATTTAATGTTGGATGAATCAGCGCGAGCTCTTGCTTATAGGAACTGGATCAAAGTTCTTGAGCTACAACTTCTGCAGTTGAAAACACAAAAACAGCAGAAACAGCAGCAGAAACAATATGAACAATGGAACAGAACAAAAGAAGATGAAAATGGTACAAATGGTGTAACATGGCTCATAGCAGTTGCTTTCTGTTTAGGCATAGCTGCAATTGGTTACAGATACCTCCTTTGACAGAGGACGGGTCAAAAAAAGGCACACGATATCAAAGCAGACAATACGTGTCATTGGCTTGGGCTATGCCAGACTTGTTCATCTTTTTTGTTTCTATTTTCTCATATTCTGAATTGCTTTTCCTTCTCACATCCACATTGTTTTGCAGTTGAGAAGGTTAGCTTTATCAGTCATGTTGTATATACAGAATTAACCAAATGCCACAAAATTAGACAGAAACCTTGTACAATTTGTAATAGAGACATTTAACTATAGAAAAGAAAAGGGTCGTGAAGACACAAACATAGATATGTATAGACATAAAAAGCTCTTGATTACATGCTCGGTGCAAATATGTTACATGAACACGCTTACATAAACTACGGTTCCTATTTCTCATGTAATGGATCGGTGAACAGACCTCAAATGATCATAGCAATTATCACTGGTGTCAAAGAAGCGCAAGCAAACCCAGCAAACATGATTCCCACACTTACACTCGATATGATTGCAGCCATCCACCTTCTCAATTGTACATCTGCAAACGGGACATTTCTTTACGTTCTCTTTCCCCTTGGACCATTCCTCTAGAGAGCAATCTGGGTCGTTTTTAACTTTCTGGTACATCTCACATGAGAGGTAAGGATGATACTCCATGTGGCAACTCGTACATGTCTCCACATAGCATGCACCACAGGCAAAAGGTGCACCAACCATATCGGGATCTGCAATGCGATAAACTGAAGGGCAGTCTGGTGAGGGGCAAAAGCGGTAGGTACTCCCATTGGCTGCCACAAAAGCCCCCAAAGAAGCCCTGAAAAGTTCTTCCAACTTCTCAATTGACAATAAAGACTTCAAATCAGCAAGCAATATGGGTTCCGCACAACCTTGATGAAGACAGCATATGGGGAAACCTTCCCGGCTTTTGATTGCAGACTCGCACTGCTCTAGCAAGCATGTCCGACAGAATAGATGGCAGCAAGCTTCAAGTTTATAAGGATCCTCCAGTCCACACAAGCAAACAGGACAGTCAGCATCATCTCCTGTCGTTTGAGTTGGAAAACTTCTTTGAGCAATTTCAGAGATTATGTCCTCAACATTTTGCTTCATATCTTTTGTACCATTCATATAGATGCAATGGCGCTTTGTGTTCAGAGAGAACTCTGCCCCAGGCACCTTTTCTTTAAGCGCACTAAGGTCTGGTCCAAATGTCTGAACAACTCTTTTCATCAGGTCATGAGGCAAATGTCCTCCACGAAGATGCACCTCAAGTTGTTTATTTTCATGTAGCGCCAGAAGGGAATCGATAAATCTCTGTCGAGCCCTATCAACGTTGTCTAAAGAACCAAATATACTAACAAGCAAGCTATGCTTGTCAAAATAAATATAGGTTCCTGTCTCCCGTTGAATTGTCCTCATAATGTTGTTTCCTTCCCGAGAGAACAGAAGTCGAACAACCTTCGGAGTAATGTCCACGTGATCTACAATCTTGCCTTTCATAAGTTGCTCCAGTGGCCTTCTCAAATCTGCCACAACTTTGGTGGCAGTAGCAGATATCCTAACTGTATAGGAACCGTTATCATTTCTCTGTAGCTCGCATTTTCCAACTGCAAGACAATCACAAGTTTCACTCAGCTACCAATTAAATAAATCCATATACAACTACTGAAAAAAATTTTCTTCTGAAATAAGAGTCACTTCTTAAACTATAAATAACATTGAAGAGACTCGAAAGGTTGCAGAAGAATCCCCTCACTAACCCTTATGGATTCTCTAATTTTTCTCCTCCCTCAATCAACCAACACAAAAATAGAGAGCATAATCAACAAGCCCATCTTTTATCTTTGGAGAATTTTCGAGATAAAAGACAACAGAGTTTCACATTAACCAACAATCTGAGGAACACAAATAAGATTTAAAACAGTGCTATAGGAATGTGAACAACAATTTATAAAGTAGCCAACAAACCGAGCATATAGACCAGAACATTTCAGGTTCAGTTTAAAACAAAATCCGGCACTTCGCTTAAGCAACCTAGTTTGACACAGACGTAATTGTAAAGAAGATATATTAAAAAAAGTAAGCACAAGATACCCTTTCTTTGGCGGAGGCTAGCAAGTAAAAAATCCAGCTGGTTCCTGATGACATGATAAACTGCTGCAGGACAGGAAACAGAGCTGTGAAACAGTCGCTCACATCTTATTTTCTGCCAGGGAAGGCATCCGGGCAAAACCATGCCGTCGATTTGCTCCAAGGCCTTGGCTGCTTCAAGATGAAGAGATCCATCAAATGTTATAGTTGCTTTTGCGAAATACTCAGTTAGTTTCGGCTGGAACACCTGGACACGAACAGAGTTAACAAATGGAACCTTTTTAGGCATGAAGGGAGATATTTCTTTCCGAAGTGCTTCTTCACAAGTAGCTATGGGAGGATCCTCTACAGAATCTCCTCTCACCAAGAAGAAATCCAGAACTCTCCTATTTGTTGTTGCCCTTAACACCTCAAGTATCTCTGTCTCAGCCATGTCCTTATCAAGTCTAGCAATGACTATGTTATTAGGGTTCTTATCGCTTGCCTCACAACGGATGACATTTCCACCAATCATAAGATCAGAGAGGTCATCTAAAATTAAAGGAACATCCATAGGATCACATCTCAGAAAGCCTACTCCTTTACTGTACCTACGAGGCCAAGAAACTTTAGCTTTGAGAACTGAGCGAAACATTTTTTGATCACTACAATTTATGCTCCTGGATGGAACCATTTTCAGAAAGCCACCATTAAATTCCACTTTATTTAAGGATGTAGCCTGTTCTGCAGCATCAGGGGTAAGAAATTTTACTGTGCCCCACTTGTTCTCCACTTTGTCCTGGCCCATATTATAGTACTTGTGCACCATACAAATATTACCAGATGTTGCTCTCTCCAAACACATCAGCAATTCCTTGTCATCAATGGCATTTCCATTTGAAGGAAATATGTCCACAGTCAAACATCTCTTCTCAAGCTCCAAATGCTTTATCACAGCTCCAGCTCCAAAGAGAGCAACAGAGGCCGATCCTCCATTGAATAGACATTTCTCTAAGCATTCGTTCCGCAACAGCTTACTTTCATACTCTAGAGCATCATTTACCTGGAGTGTAACACACTCCATATCTCTCGAAGAAGCATATAAAAGAACCTCATTCTCATCAACATTAACTTGAATGCCTATTCTTTCATCCTTACAAGAAGTTCTAATGCGCGAGACAAGATTATTAATGCTACTGTTAAATTTCCCACAAAATCTTTTGAGTAGCAAGACTCCAAAGCCTGTCAAAACCTTTTTTTCTAACTTTCGTGCATCCATCTTCAGAAAATCAAACAAAGGAGCAGGAGTGAGGCTAACAAGAGAACTAAACTCAAATGCAGTAACACAGACCAGATACTCGTTAGCTGATGCAAGGACATCCCCAAAGACTACCCAACGTGGTCGTTGGCCAAAATTCAAAAGCGAACAGGAAGGATGTAGTTGGACACACTTCCCAGTTAGTGCAACCTCATAACCAAGCTGATCATAACCTGAGTACACAGCAACATTTTCCGCAAGTGAAGAAAGAATTATACTTTGCAATACTTCGTCACACTTGTTATGCACTTGAGGATGCCAGCACCAGTAACTGGCTAAGATCATATTGAGATCATTCTGAAGACAGGCTTCCATTTCCAGCACTGTCTCATGGCATCTTCTCATGGATTTAGCATTGATACTATTATCCCAACACCAGCTATTCTTCTTTTCCCTAGGCACAATCTCCCATTCCCTGTAAACAGATAGTAAAGTAAAGAGGTCCCCACTTGGATGGCAAAATTGCACCTTGTGGCAATCAGATTTAAGCTTGTCTCCTTCAGAACCAACCCTACAGAAAATGCTGCTGGAATTTGCCATAACGGCTGCAAGCACAACACCTTCTTTACCCAAACGTTGATCAAAGCAACTAAGGATCATTTTTCCCAACCGAGGTTCAATACCCAACTTCACCAGTTTTAGTCCTCCTTCAGTTAATTCATATGATGCATCATCTCTTTGTGTAACAGCTCCTAGTTGAACCAGATTTCTGGTGGCCATCTCAATAGCTTTGGGGCTCGGTGCATCAATAAAGTCAAAATCCTGCACATTCTTGATACCTAAAGCAAGAATCCTCAGCACTGCAACACCAAGATGAACTTTCCGAATTTCAGGTTCCTGATGACGAGGCATATCCTCAAAATCACTTTGAGAGTACAGCCTGAAACACTTTCCAGGTTCAGTTCTCCCTGCACGACCGGCTCTTTGGTTAGCAGAACTTTGGCTCACACTGCATATCCTGAGAACATTCATGCCAGAGCCAGGTTCAAACCTGCTTTCTTTAACCATGCCAGAATCAACAACATATTTGACACCAGGGATTGTCAGTGATGTCTCAGCTAGATTGGTGGTGAATATAACCTTTCTCTTCCCTGGATAGGAGAGAAACACTCGGTTTTGGTCATCATAGGATAACTTGCCATGCAAAGGTAAAGCAATGGCGAGTGGTGCTTTAAACTGCTCACAAGCCCACTCAACTTCACTCTGAGATGTCAAGAAGGCTAAAATAGCCCCCACTCCCTCAGTTCTATCAATCTCAGTCACCATCTTGATAACATCGTGGACATAAGAGGCAATTGCACCTACAGCATAATGGGCGTTATCTTCACAGGGTACATACTTTATATCAACCGGAAAAGTCCTACCAGCCACATGGAAAGTTCCACAACCAAAGAAGTAGCCTGCAAGCTGGTTTGCATCAACTGTAGCAGACATAATAATAAGCCTCAGATCAAACCTCTGATGAAGTAGTTTCTTAATCAACGCTAAAAGAAGATCGGTGTTAAGGCTTCTTTCATGTGCCTCATCGACTATGATGCATGAAATGTTGGACAAATTCTTGTCGCCCATATAGTGCTGTAATAGGCAGTGATCTGTCATAAAAATCACCTTTGAATCCAACTGCTGATCGGAT